ATCGACCGTCGTCCGCGTCGTCGCCGTAGATGTCGTCGACCGTCATCCTCGTCGTCGTCGTCGTCCGCGTCGTCGTCGTCGTGGTCGTCGTCGTCGTCAGGGACCGTCGCCCTTCTTCGCGTCGCCGTCGTCGTCGTCGTCGTCGTCGTCGTCGTCGTCGTCGTCGTCGTCGTCGTCCGCGTCGTCGTCGTTGTCGTCGTTCTCGTCGTTGTCGTTGTCGTCCGCGACCGTCGTCCGCGTCGTCGCCGTAAATGTCGTCGACCGTCATCGTCGTCGTCGTCGTCGTCCGTGGTGCCCGCGTTGTCGTCGTCGTCGTCGTCGTCGTCGTCGTCATCTGCAGCGTCGTCGAAGAGGGGCGATGGGCGCTGGTGATGGCGGTGAATAGGATCATGACCATGCCGGTGGTGATGGGGATGGTGTTGCTGATAGGGATTTTGAGGTTGACGATGATGATGATCGCAAACTCGAGCATATACATTACCTGTGGCGAGCGGTTTTTCAATCCTAGGAAGTTTTTGAGGGTTGGGGACGACGTCTGGGTGGTGTGCTGTATACGTTTCTCCCGTTTTCCAATGGAAACAACGAAACATCTATACACCAGGATCCCGTATACACCAGGATCCGCGTTCCTATGCGAATTTCAGCGCAGGGTCGGAAAAAGCGTCGGTGTATAGAGTTCGTTTTCCTAGATGATGTTGATGTTGATGCTGATGATAATGATAATGACGATGATGATGATGATGATGATGATGATGATGATGATGATGATGATGATGATGATGATGATGCTGATGCTGATGATGATGATGATGATGATGATGATGATGATCATGATGATGATGATGATGATGATGATGATGATGATGATGATGATGATGATGATGATGACGACGGCGATGTGGTGGTGGTGATGTTGATGGTGATGGTGATGGTGATGATGATGCTGCTGCTGCTGATGCTGATGATACTGATGATGATGACGCTGATGGTGAGGTATATGACTGGTGATGATGGCGATCGTGGTGCTGCTGATGTTGGTGATGTGTTCTGATGGTGATGGCGATGCTGATTTTACCTGGGTGGTCTAGATCGCGATGGTGGATGACGATGGTGGCGATAGCGATGATGTCGGTAATCGTAACGCTGGGCATGACGAGGGCGGTGCAGGCTTCCAGCGGTTTCCTGGGGGCCTGGCCAGGGCCATTAGCTATGTGGAATGCTTTGGGGTGGGGGGTAATTCGTTACCTTGCACACGCTCGTTTTCTCCCAGGCCACGGTTCACCTCATGAGTTTGTTTATTGCAGGTTGGTCTGGGTTGCATCTGGTGTGCCTGGCGTTTCTTTCCCGCATTCGGGCCCGACGCGTGCCCGCCGCCCTGGCACCGCGAAGGCGGCCGGGAGCGACAAGCGCAGGTCTGTTTTCCCCTCGCTCTGGGTCAGGGCTGTGGGCTAAAGGGAGTTTGAGCCCCAAAGGGGATTAGGCAGGAACTGAATTGTGGCCTCGTCTTGTATCTTTGGAGATGTGACCAGGCTACCGTAGGGCTGCTGCCCTCGTCCACGTCGTCGTCGCCGCCGCCGTTGTCGTCGTCGTCGTCGTCGTCGTCGTCCGCGATGTCGTCGTCGTCGTCGTCGTCGTCGTCGTCGTCGTCGTCGTTGTCTTCGTCGTCGTCGTCGTCTGCGACGTCGTCGTCGTCGTCGTCGTCGTCATCTCCGTCCGCGTCGTCGTCGTCTGCGGCGATGTCGTCGTCGTCTGCGTCGTCTTCGTCTGCGTCGTCGTCGTCCGCGTCGTCGTCATCGTCGTCGTCGTCGTCGCCGTTGTCTGCGATGTCGTCGTCGTCGTCGTCGTCGTCGTCTTCCTCGTCGTCGTCCCTGTCGTCGTTTGCGTCGTCGTCTGCGTCGTCGTCGTCCCTCGTCGTCGTCGTCACTCGCGTTGTCGTCGCCGTCGTCTGCGATGTTGTCTGCGATGTTGTCATCGTCGTTGTCGTTGTCGTCGTCGTCCCTGTCAAAGGCGCCGTCGTCGTCTGCGACGTCGTCGTCGTCGTCGTCGTCGTCCGCGTCGTCGTCCTCGTCGATGTCATTGGCGTATGCGTCGTCGACCGTCGTCGTCTGCGTCGTCGTGTCGTCATCGTCGTCGTCCGCGTCGTCGTCGTCTTCGTCGGCGCCGACGTCATCGTCGTCCGCGTTGTCGTCGTCTGCGTCGTCTGCTTCGTCGTCGTCGTCGTCGTCCGCGTCGTCGTCGTCGTCGTCGCCGCCGACGTCGTCGTCGTCGTCGTCGTCGTCGTCGTCGTCGTCGTCGTCGTCGTCGTCCGCGGCGTCGTAGTCGTTATCAGTGTTGTCGTCGTCGTCGTCAGCGTCGTTGTCGGCGTCCGCGTCGTCGTCGTCGTCGTTGTCGTCGCCGCCGTCGTCCGCTTCGTCGTCGTCATGTTCGTCCGCGTCGTCGTCTGCGTCGTCATCGTCGTCCTCGTGGTCGTCCGCGTCGCCGTAGTCGCCGCTGTCGTTGTCTACATAGTAGTCGTCGTTGTCGTCTTGGTCGTCGTCGTCGTCCGCGTCGTCGTCGTCGTCGTCTTCGTCGTGGTCGTCGTCGCGGTCGTCGTCGTCGTCCGCGTCGTCGTCTTCGTCCGCGTCGCCGTCGTCGCCGCTGTCGTCGTCTTCGTCGTCGTCGTCGTCGCCGTCGTCCGCTGCGCCGTCGTCGTCGGCGTTGTCTGCGTCCTCGCCGTCGTCGCCGTCGTCGTCGTCGTCGTCGTCGTCGTCGTCGTCGTCATCGTCCTCGTCGTCAACGACCGTCGTCGTCGTCGTCGTCGTCGTCGTCGTCGTCGTCGTCGTCGTCGTCGTCGTTGTCGTCGTAGGTGTCGTCGTCGTGGTCGTTGTCTCGTCGTCGTCGTCGTCGTCGCCTGCGTCGTCGTCGTCCGCGTATGCGTCGTCGTCGTCGTCGTCGTCGCCGTCGTCGTCGTCATGAGCGTCGTCGTCGTCGTCGTCGGCCTCGTCGCCTGCTTCGTCGTCGTCATCGGTGTCGTCGCAGTCCGCGTCGTCGTCTGTGTCGTCGTCGTCGTCTGTGTCGTCGTCGTCGTCGTCGTCGTCGTCGTCGTCGTCGTCGTCTGCGTCATCGTCGTCGTCGGCGTTGTCGTCGTCGTCGTCTGCGTCGTCGTCGTCGTCGTCCGCGCAAAGGCGCCATCGTTGTTGTCGTCGTCGTCTGCGTCGTCGTCGGCGTCGTCTGCGTCGTCGTCTTCGGCGACGTCGTCGTCGTCGTCGTCGTCGTCGTCGTCGCCGCCGTCGTCGTCGTCATCCGCGTCGTCGGCGTCGTCGTCGTCGTCGTCGATATCCCCGTCGTCGTCGGCGTCGTCGTCTGCGTCGTCGTGTCGTCATCGTCATCGTCGTCGTCGTAGTTGTCTTCGTCGGCGTCGTCGTCGTCGTCGTCGTGGTCGTCAGCGTTGTCGTCGTCGTCTGCGTCGTGTGCGTCGTTGTCGTCGTCGTCGGCGTCGTCCTCGTCGTCGTCCGCGTAGTCGTTGTCGTCGTCGTCGTCGTCGTCGTCGTCGTCGTCGTCGTGGTCGTCGTGGTCGTCGTCATTTGCGTCGTAGTCGTCGTCGTCGTCGTCGTCTTCGTCGTCGTCTGCGTCGTCGTCGTCGTCTGCGTCGTCGTCCGCGTCGTCGTCGTCGTCGTCGTCTTCGTCCGCGTCGTCGTCGTCGTCTGCGTCGCCGTCGTCGTCGTCGTCGTCGTCGTCGTCGTCGTCGTCGTCGTCGTCGTCGTGGTCGTCGTCGTCCGTGTTGTCGTCGTTGTCGTCGTCTGCGTTGTCGTTTGCGTCGTCGCCGCCGTTGTCGTCGTCGTTGTCGTCGTGTGCGTCGTTGTCGTCGTCGCCGCTGTCGTCGTCTTCGTCGTCGTCGTCGTCGTCGTCCGCGTAGTCGTTATCAGTGTTGTCGTCGTCTTCGTCGTCGTCGTCGCTGGCGTCGGCTGTCCTCGTCGTCCGCGTTGTCGTCCGCGTCATTGTCGTCTGCGTCGTCGTCGTTGTCGTCGTCTGCGTCGTCCTCGTCATCGCCAGTTTCGTCGTCGTCGACGCCGTCGTCGTCGTCGTCGTCCGCGTCGTCGTCGTCGTCTGCGTTGTCGTCGTCGTCGTCCGCGTCGTCGTCGTCGCCGGCTTCGTCGTCGTCGCCGCCGTCGTCGTCATCGTTCGCGTCGTCGTCGTCGTCGTCTGCGTCGTCGTCGTCGTCGTCGTCGTCGTCGTCGTCGTCGTCGTCGTCTTCTGCGTCGTCGTCGTCGTCGTCTGTGTCGTCATCGTCGTCGTCCGCGTCGTCGTCGTCGTCGCCGTCGTCGTGTTCTCGTCGTCTCCGTCGACGCCGTCGTCTGCGTCGTCGTCGTCGTCGTCGCCGTCGCCGTCGTCGTCGCCGTCGCCGTCGTGCGAATGTCAATGGTAATCTTGACGACCGCTGCTGCCACTGACCCCTCAAGCTTTCTGCCCAGCATAGGATGCCGGTCGACCCGTCATCAGTCGCCTGCCTGTTCTCCATCGGGTCCTGCCTCCTGGCGCGGTCGGCCCCGCCAGTCACGCCTGTCTGCGGCTGCCAGTGCGACTGCGGCGCACCAGGCTGGTCCACCTCGGCGATCTTCCTCCTCGGCGCACCAGGCCGGTCGCGCTCGGCCAGCTCGCCACGGGCTTCCTCCTGGCGCGCTGGTGTTGCCCGCCACTGCAGGGTGGGCATCCAGCGCAGGCGCTGCCGGCGCGAAGTGCTTAACGCTGCCCGCAGGGGCTCGCGGCAGGTTGGAGGGAGGTGAGTGATGGTCTTCCGAGTTTTTGATCGCAGGCGCCGCCCTCGGGCTTTCTTCGATCTCGATGAAGCTGTCTGGCACGAACGCTTGGTGCTGCCGCACTCGGCAGGTGGGCACTGCCTCGTCAATTCCGATGGCGACGTCTACGCGGGGCGGTCAAGGGACCATGTTGGCATGTTGGAGAGTGGGGTTGCTGGCGGCGTGCCGTTCTGTCTCTCGGGCAACATGGCGCTGCGCTGTGCCTTCTGTGGAGCCGCGTCGTCCGAGACCGCGGCTCCTGCCGGTGGGCGGAGGCCGAGAGGGCAGCCCTGGTCGCCGCCCCTGCAGCCGCCGACGACAGCGGTTTTGTGGCGCTGCCCCCGCCACCTGGGCCGCCTGCTGGTGCCGTGCAGGCGAGCCTTGAGGACGACCTCGAATACTGCGCGGTGGGGGCGCTGGTCGGCCACTGCATCGGGGTCTGCGCGAGCTGGTTCGCCGCGGAGATCGGGGGCTTCCTCCGTCGCAGTGAGTCGGCGGTGGTCGAGGCCTCGTCCGTCCCTTTCGGCAGCGCTGGGCAGGAGTTGCAGCGCGACCAGCTCAGCATCTGCTGCCCTTCCCGCGTCGAGGGGGTGGCCCTGCGCTGCCAGCTCTGGGTGGAGAGACACGCCGAGCGCATTCGCGCCACGATCGAGGGAGTCATCGTGGCGGGCCCCGCGGCGGGGCGGCAATTCTTCCTGGGCGGGTGGCCCGCCGGGGGCTGCGCTCTGGTGTCGTGGGGGCGGGGGCGCTGGGTGGCCAGGCGCGTGGGCGAGGGGGCCGCGGTGCTCATGGGGCGCAGGAAGGGCCGCGAGGAGATGGCGTTGGCGGCGGCTGCCACTTTGCCGCCAGCGCTGGCTACAGGCAGCAATGAGAATCACAGGAAGAAGAAGGACGGCCAGGCTGGCGCCTCGGGCAGCGGCGAGGGGGGGCGGGCCCGACTGCCCAACGCCCCGTGCTACCCTGCAGCGACCTCGGATTTCCCCCGCCCCAGGCCCGCTGGTATACTTGGGGAGGTGGACGAGCGTTCGCGCCGCCACTGTGCCGCCAGGTCCCGCGGGGGATCCCTGGGACTTGCTGCGCCTGCCTGCTGCGCCGCCGCTGGGCCGCCGCGCTGATGGCTGCTCTGCTCAGGCGCGGCTGCAGGGGGGCGTGCAGACCCTCTATGAGATGGGGGGGGGCGCGGTGCACTTCGGCGTGCTGGGCCAGCGTCTGGCAGCCGCGTCGACGCGCTGGAGCGGCTCGAGAGCTCCTTCGACGCCGTGCCCAGCTGCCCGGACCCGACCGCCGAGGCGACCGCCCTGGCCGTCATCGGCTCCAATCTTGGCTACGCTATCGACGACGTTGCCGTCGGGAAGTGCGCCGCCTACCAGCGCGGGGAGGTCTCGCTCCCGTGCGTCGCCTCAGGGACGCCCCCTGGCGCACTGCCCCTGACGCGCGCTCTTCGCTGATGGGTGGGGCTGGGGACTTCCTGGAGAGAGGCTCTACTGCATCTTCCTTCCGCGTCGGGTGCGCAATTGGCCTTTGACCGGAGGCTCGCGGGCAGCCCTGCCGCCTCCGGGAAGTTGTTGGCCGATCTGCTCAACGTGACATGCTCGAAGTTGGCGCGTCTGTCTCGCTGGTGGCGCCCTTCTCTGTCGACGAGAAGGACCTTGCCCTCGGGCTAATCTTCGACACCAGGGGCGCGAACGCGATGTTCTCGGATCCCGACTATGTTCCCCTTGCAGCTGCTCAGGCCCTGGCTTCGGTGGAGGTCCCGCCGGCGAGAGGCTTCTTGTCGCTCAGGGCGACGTCGCCTGCTGCTTCTACCAGTTCGTGCTGCCTCCGCACCTGCGCGAGGCGTTTGGCTTGCCGCCAGTGCCCTCGGCAGCGTTGCCGCCGGTGGCCCGCCGCGCCGCGGGGGCTCCCCCGCCCGATGGGCTTGTCCGGCTTCGGCTGCGCGTGGTCCGAATGGGCTGGTCTTGGACTGTCTACTTCGTGCAGCAGGCCATGCAGCGCATTCTGGGCGACGTCGTCCCAGCGGATTACCTGCTCGCAGAGTGCATGCCGCGCGCGCCTGTGCAGCCTGGCTCTGGCGTCTCCCTGATCTACGTCGACAACTTCGCCGCGCTCGCCACCTCGCAGGAGGAGGCGGGCTGCCTCTTGGAGGAGATGCTGGCCGCCGTGGCTGCTGCTGGAGCGGAGGCTGGGCCCGGGCCCCAGGGCTCGCCGCTGCTGGGCTTTGAGCTGGACAGCGAGGGCACGCGGTGGCGCCCCTCGGCCCGCAAGTTTTGGCGCGTGGCTCTGGCCTTGCGCGCCTTGGGCTGGGGCAAGACTCGCCGTGCGGAGCGCCAGATCGCGCGTGTGGTGGGCAACGCCTCGGCAATCGTGCTGCTGCGGCTCGAGATGCTCTCCGTCTTCTCGTCTGTTTAAGTCTTCACCGGCCCCTTCTTCGCCCAGCCAGCCCGCGTCTGGGCCTCTGTGGGGAAGGAGCTGCGGGCTGCGTGGGCGCTGCTGCCGTTGGCCCTTGTCGATGTGAACCTGCCGTGGTCACCGTCCGCGGCATCGGTGGGAGCATCGCTTCACGGCTTCGGTGTGACCGAGAAGGACTGGGATGCTGCCGAGCTGCTCCGCCCCCCTTGTTGGTTATCGGCGACCCCCTACCAATAAATGCCAAATAATACCAAATATTCGCGCTAAATATTGTTTCAACCACGCAACCTTGGTGAAGCCTCAGGTCTCCTTCTGTTTTCCAGCATGTCGCGTGGTCGGACATGTTCAAAACCATTTCGCTATCCTTGAGTTTTGGGTGTTCCCCGCGAAGATTTTGAAGCTTTCCGTGAGGGTTGGGTGTTCCCAACGAGTATTTTGAACACCAGTGTGCCCTCCGCGTTGTTTCCCATCGTGATTTTCACATTAATTTCATTGTCCCTGGGTGCGTGGCTGAAGTGAGATTCCGCGGTGCGGATTCGTGTTGTTGTTGTTTGTTGTTGTTGTTGTTGTTGTTGTTGTTGATGTTGTTGGTTGTCGTCGTCCCACCAGCAACCCGCCCCGCGACCCACCCGCGACCCACCCCGCGACCCACCCGCGACCCACCCGCGACCCGCCCGCGACCCACCCGCGACCCACCCCACGACCCACCCCGCGACCCACCCCGCGACCCACCCTGCGACCCACCCTGCGATCCACTCGCGACCCACCCGCGACCCACCCCGCGACCCACCCCGCCGCGGCCCACCCCGCGACCCACCCGCGACCCACCCGCGACCCACCCCGCGACCCGCCCGCGGCCCACCCCGCGACCCACCCGCGACCCGTTCGCGACCCACCCGCGACCCACCCGCGACCCACCCGCGACTCACCCCGCGACCCACCCGCGACCCACCTTCGACCCAAACCACGTTCAAGGTACAAACCAACATTTTCGGCGCCTGCGGCGGCCTTTTTTTGCATTCCTTCCAGATGGAAAGCCCGCGACCGCGACCCACCCCGCGATCAACTCGCGACCAACCCGCGACCCAAACCACGTTCAGGGTGCAAACCGCATTTTTCGGCGCCTGCGGCTGCGGCGGGCATCTTTTGAATCGTTCTAGGTGGAGAGACCGCGGCCCACCCGCGACCGCGTTCAGGGTGCAAACCAATTTTTTCGGCGCCTGCGGCGAGCATCTTTTGCATTCGTTCCCGGTGGAGAACCCGCGGCCCACCCGCAGACTCGTGATTCTGATGAGCCCGCCGCCGCCCTCCCGATCCTCCACCCTCCTCCTTTTCGTCGTCGTCGTCGTCGACGTCATCGTCGTCGTCCCCTCCCTCCTCCTCCTGCTGCTCCTCCTCCTCCTCCTCGACTCCTGCTGCTCCTCCTCCTCCTCCTCCTGCTGCTCCTCCTCCTCTTCCTCCTCCTCCTCCTCCTCCTCCTCTTCCTCCCCCTCCTCGTCGCCCCCCCCCTCCGCGGCCCAACGGGGGGCGGGGCCCCGGGCCCCGGCGGGGGGCCCCCGGGGCCGGGCCGCCGCGCCGCGATGGCGGCGGCGGCGGCGGCGGCGATGGCCGCCACGAAGGCGGCCAAGGGTGGGGGGGAGGGCGAGGAGAGGGGGCAGTAGGAGAGATTGAGAGAGAGAGAGAGAGAGAGAGAGAGAGAGAGAGAGAGAGAGAGAGAGAGAGAGAGAGAGAGAG